TTTTTCTACTAGTGATACCAATTTACACATGGTTATTTTAATACGAAGTACTAACTATTGAACGCATAAAAATGCACAAGAATTATATGTTACTAATGTAAATAAAAAACACAAACAACGTTTTAAAATTTTGATCATCTCAAGTCGTATTTACTTTCGGTTGTTTTAATATTATTTATGTGATTCATGGTCGTCAAACAAAAAAATAAAAAAATGAAAAATTATTCCCTCAACAAATAAAGTGAAGATGCAAGTAAATTAATACGGTTGGAGCAATAAACTAAAGCCCTGTTCATTTGAGCTACTCTGCTCTGCTTTGCCCTACATTGCTCTGCTGAAATATGCCCTGCCCTACTCTGCTGAAATATGCTCCGCTCTGCTTTGCCCTGCTCTACTCTGCTCTGCTTTGCTTTGCTCTGCTGTGCTTAAAAATAATAATTAATAATAATAATAATTAATATTTAATAAAAATAATAATAATTATTATTAATATTTAATAATAATAATTAATATTTATAAATAATAATAATTAATATTTCATAATAATAATAATAATAATAATTAACATTTTATATTATTTATCACCTTTTCTAATGTTATAAAAAGAGTAAAAAATCTAAAAAAAATCAAATACTAATAGTAGTAGTAGTAGCAGTAGTAGTAGTAGTTTGCAGGCTGTCCTCCCTTTCTATTTTTGCGTGTGGCTTAAGAATTTTTTTGGTGCGATTTTCAGGCAGTTTATTGGGGAGGTTGTCCTCCCTTTCTGTTTTTGCGTGTGGTTTCAATGTTTTTGGTGCGATTTTCAGGCAGTTTGTTGGGGAATTCACGCAGCCTTTTCTGGTGCAATTATCTCGAATTTTCTCGTTATTATTAGTGCAGTTTCCCGGGGTTCGGCAACGGTTTTTCAGGCATCCGTGAGACGTATTTGGGGAGCGTTTTTCAGGCGTATTTTTCTGCCATTTATCAAGGGGTTTTTGTGAATATTTGGGTGTATTTTTTGTGTGGTAGGCTGTTATTTTCAGGGAGCAGCAGCGTGTTAGCTTTTGGGCAGTTTGCAGTTGTTGTTTTGGGTGTATTTTTGGTGTTTCTTGCAGCTGGTTTGCTGTAGTTTATGGTGGTCGTGTGTAGCTGTGTTGGCAGTCAATGTGAAGTTTCATTGTCCCTTTGTGGGTTTAGTGGTTGTCAAGATGGAAATGGTAATGGCCTTACTAGAAGTTCTCTTATTAAGCATCTTTGTGATCGTCATTGTTGTATTGGTGCGTGAAATATCACACGACATTCTCTTACTTCTAATTTGGCTGTTTATACTGAGGCTAGAGTTACTTTTTCGCGTATGGGGATTTGGTTATGTGGAGTTTGCTACAAAACGCATACGCATTGTACTAAGTGTCGTCATAGTACGAGTGAGATTGTGTCACCCCCGGATGAAGGAGATGGTATTGTTCGTTTTGTGCTTTATGGTTTCTCCAAGCCACAAGCTCCCTTTTCTCCAGCTCGGCTTGGACATGTGGGTGGTTTGGTGCAAGATCAACAGTGTGGTTTTGATGTAGCTCTTCTTGATAGTTTGTTCTTTAAGGGGTATCGTACTGTGAAGTCTATCCCTCCCAAGTGTCATTTGGGGTTTTCTCGGGTTTTGAAAGGTGCTCTTGATAAGGCGATCTCTAAGTCTGATGACATTTCTAGTTGGGTCTATTTGTTGGTGTTACCTCTTTGCACCCTTACCTTTCGTCCGCGGAGCAGCTCTGAGTCTAGTTCTTCGGTAAAACATCGGCTTCAAGAAGAGAGTGTTTCCCGTGCTATTTGTTCTTAGAGTGCACCAGGTGGTAATTTGCAGCTTGTGAAGGATACTCTGGCAGAGGATTCTCCTACTTTCTTAGTGGTTGATGATGAGGACCTTGATTTGGAGGAGCGTAATATCAAGCAGTGTCGTAGGAAGATTTGTGATGGCCATTACATCGCTGCAGTCCGGGTCTTTTCTTCTTTAGGTGTTGCTCCTTATAATGAGACAACTCTCGCAAATTTACAGTCTAAACACCCTACTTCTCCAGCTCTATCCTTTCCTGATATACATGTTGATCACCTTAATCTCGTTACTACTTCTGCTGTTGTTTTGGATCGGATTAAGAGTTTTCCATGTGGCACATCATGTGGTAGGGACGGTTTACGTGCTCATCAAATTATGGATTGTTTGAGTGGTGCTGTTGTGGTTGTATCAGATGAGTTAGTTGACTCTATTTGCGGGGTGGTTAATCTCTTTCTAGCTAGAAGATTTCCTATGCCACTGGGAGAGTATATTACCAGTGCTCCTCTTACACCACTTGTCAAACCCGATGGTGGTATTCGTCCTATTGTTGTGGGTACTATTTGGCGACGTCTGGTTTCGAAGGTGGGTGCTGTTATGGTTGGCCAGTCTTTAGGAAGTTACTTTGATGGTCTTCAATTTGGTGTTGGGGTTTCTTTAGGTGGTGAGACAATTCTTCATGCAGTGAATCGATTGATTGAGGACCGTGGTTCTGATGTTGGTCTTTCTATGTTGTTGGTGGATTTTCAAAATGCCTTCAATCTAGTTGATCGTTCGGTCATGTTAATGAAGTTCGTCACTGTTGTCCGGGCATTTCGCGATGGGTTAAATTCTGCTATTCTAATCCAGCCAGATTGTACTATGGGGACCAAACCTTATGATCGTCTCAGGGGGTGCAACAGGGTGATCCCCTTGGTCCTCTTCTTTTTGCTTTGGTTTTACAACCCCTGGTGTCTAAAATCAGAGACTTTTGATGTGTGTCTTCAGGCTTGGTATTTGGATGACGACACTGTTATTGGTGACACGTTGGTGATTGGGAAGGTTCTGCAGTTGATTATGGAGGAAGGGCCTCGTTCTGGGTTACATCTTAACGTGGAAAAAACTAAAGTTTTCTGGCCTACAGAAGACCCTCGAAGCAGGCTTGTGGATGTCTTTCCACCTAATATTGCTCGACCTTTGCGTGGTGTTAAGTTGCTTGGTGGTCCCGCTAGTTTCGATTCTGGTTTTAGTGGTGAGCTTGTGATGCAGAGGGTGACCAAGACCATTGCGCTTGTGGATAAGGTTACTACGCTGGATGATCCTCAGTATGAGCTGTTGTTACTTAGGGCATGTACCAGAGTTTCTAAACTCTACTTTGCATTGCGTACTTGTCCTCCTAGTACTTTTGAGGTGGCTCAGCGCACATTCGACGGGGCTCTTTTATCTTTCTTGGAGCATATTGTTACTGCTTCGGGGCTTGAGTTTGGCGATTGGCAGTGATGGCTTGCCACCTTACCATTTGCGTTTGGAGGGCTTGGTGTTTATTCCGCAGGTGATGTTCGTCATTATGCTTTTCTTGCTTCTCGGTTACAGTATGTTGGGTTGTAGACACAGCTTCTACGGCATGCTGGCATTGTTGGTCTTAGACGAGCCTTTGAGGATGCGTTGAGTCTGTTTAATGGAACGGTGGAGTCTGACATTTTGAGTAATCCTAGTGAGGTTGCTGCCCCTAAACTTATGAAGAAATTGGCAGATATATATTCACAACGGTTACCGCTTCTGCAGAATCCGCTTATTCTTTAACTCCTCGACAATCAGCATTGTGGAAATCACAGCAGGGAGATCACACATTTGCTTGGCTTCGGGCGGTCCCTATTTCGGGGTTGGGTCAGACGATGAACGACAAGACTTACCGATGTGTGCTGTGTTACCGATCGGGTGTTCCATTGTTCTCTATCACGACGTCGTGCTCTGCTTGTTCAAGGGTTTTTACTAGGGATATCTTCGGTGATCATGTAGTGTCTTGTGCTAGTATTGTGGGCATTAAACATCGGCATAATGTTGTTCGGGATACCCTTGTTGATGTTTGCTATTGGTCAGGGATTTCAGGTAGAAAGGAGGTGGACATTGGGCTGTCTAGAGGGAACGACGGGGCCCTCAAACCTGCAAATGTGTTACTTTATTCCTGGGATCGTGGTTACGATGTCTGTGTTGACTTGACAGGGTCTTCTCCTTTCACATTCTGGACGATCTGACTTTGTTTCTGGATGGGTTGTGGTTGATGCGGCCCATTGGAAGCGGGTCAAGTACGAATCCAGTTGTTGAGCAATTGGATATGGCTTCCTTCCTTTCTCTTTCTCTTCACTTGGGGAATTAGATAGGAGGTTGTTGCATTGCTGAAGTGGATCCAGAAGTTCTCGAAGACTTAGGACATTGGGGCATGTGCTGCAGCTCATATCTTCATTAGGATAGGATTTGCTATAACTAGAGGAGTAGAGGCCCATATTGTATCTCGGCTTCTCACTAATTTTTTGTAGGTAATATAACTTTGTCTATTTTTGAGATATAACAATATAATAGTAATATCATAAATAATAATAATAATAATAATAATAATAATAATAATAATAAATTAATGATAAAAATGCAATAATAATAATAATGCTGAAATCTGCTCTGCTCTTTCCTGCTCTGTTCTGCCCTGCTGAAATCTGCTCTATTCTGATCTGCTGAAATCTAGTCTGCTAAAATGTGTTCTGCTCTACCCTGCTCTACTCTACTCTGCCTAAAAGCTCAAAAGAACAAGGTCTAACTTGTGTTTGTTTAGAGACCATCAAAACAAACTTCAACGGTAGAAAATACTTGAGGGGTGTAAAACAAACACGTGAACAAGTAAAAATCTTGTTGGTTGCATGGCTCACTAAATTTCCTTTATAATTCAATTTCAAATTTACTCATTGTTTGTGTACTAAAAGACTAGATGCTTCTGGACCCAAGAAAAGTAGCCAAAAAGGTAATGCAACTCCAAAATTTGTGGTTACAAGAAGAACATCAACACTTTACAATTGTCCCACTTACATGTGGCTATTTTAGAGTCCACAACACCTTACTTTCAACGTGTGTGCCCATACAAATCTACGTGACCCCTTCTTTGCTACACGACGTGGAGCCAATATATCCCCTAGTTTGTATCTTACCTACTTTATTATAAATACATTACACTTCACTTGCATACTTCATCAAATTAAAGAATCATACACAACTTTCTTTGATAAAGCTTTGTGCAACTTTCTTACTTGCTTGTTCAATTTTTTGAAGTTGGTTACTTGATTTTTCAAAGTTAGATACAAAGTTTGTTGACTATAATGGCAATGTCTATGCAAGTGCAAGCCCTTCTATCCAACCCCGTTGGCGCTTTTGCTAATGGGTCTTCCAAAATTTCTCCTCTAGGGTTTAACCCTCGGATGGGAAAGCGAGTTAATTTTGGGGTGAAGTGTATGGCCGAGGAGAAGGCTGAGGGTCAACCAAAGGTTGACTCCGGTTTGCCCAAGTCAGACCCTAGCGTATCATCACCCACCCCGACCCCACCCCCTAGGCCTCAGCCTAAAAGGGTATGTTGTTATGACTAATCTATGTCCATAAATCCATGTTTTCTGTTCTTAAATTTTTTTAAATCTTACAACTTTTATTTTGTAATGATTATGTTAAATGTATATGTTGCTCGATATTAGATATGTGTCATTTTAACTTGTGACATGGAGATAAATCGATTATTTGACATAAACAAATAAAATCCCTAGGATGAAATAAAGTGCACTCTTTTATCTATCACATATATATACTTAGTAACTAGGCTAGTTGCTGTTTTATTTGTGCACATAAATAAGTTAAGAATTACATTGAATCATCATTTACAGCCTACAAATGAAGCTAAATCATCTATGTATTCATTCCACAGGTAAGCACAGACTTCACAGACGTATTCGCCTTCAGCGGCCCTGCACCAGAAAGGATCAATGGACGTCTAGCCATGATCGGTTTCGTGGCCGCAGTAGCCGTAGAATTATCACAAGGCACAGACTTGTTTTCTCAGATATCCGACGGTGGAGCACAATGGTTCCTAGGAACCAGCATTCTATTATCAGTAGCGTCACTGGTGCCGTTGTTCAAAGGTGAGCGAGCAGAAGCAAAGACAAGTGGGTTTATGAACGCAAACGCCGAGCTATGGAATGGTAGGATTGCTATGTTAGGTCTTGTTGCCTTGGCTTTCACTGAGTTTGTTAAAGGTGGAGCACTTGTTTGAGGAAACTCAGCATTTTTGAGTGTAATAGTTTGAAAAAATTTATAATTTTATCAAAGTTTTGTACATATGAAGTTAATTATTATGGGATGTTTACAGTTTAGGGAGCTGATTAGGTTATTGTGAAATGTAATGTACTCCTATGATGATAATTATCTATGTTATCAAAAATTAATAGCAATCGAAGATTCAAAGTAACTATTGTTTACTAAATAAGTTGTTTATTAACATTTCAAGTCCAAAGGCTCTCATCTAAAGGAGTGTGATTGAATATAAAAATAGGTCTCAACCATCTGGTCTTTGACATATATATATGTTCTTTAAGTTTGTTGCTCACTGTTTCAGGTTGTCAAAATTACTGCTATTTCAATTAAGTACTGTTAGAGGCAAAATGGCCAAATCCAGTATATAATACGGAGTACTTTATATCGTCTATGGGCCATATAAACTTTGTATCCTTAGTTAATAATGATTTAAACTGATTTATATTATAAAATAGTTACCCACTTTGTTCAAAAAAATAAAAAAATAAAAAAAAATAAAATAGTTAACCACTTACAATAGGTGCATGGGTAGCAATTTGCAAATCATAAAGTGGTATTATTATTAAATTCATAACATCTATTCCAAATTATAAATGGTTTTTTAATTTTTGTTTTTAAAGGAAAATCATAAATAATTCATAGTATGTAATTAGTACCATAAATAAGTCATAAATAAGCTCAGATATATATATTCCAATCATAAGTTCAGATAAACTAAAGTGGATACATATCTTGTCGCAAGAAATGTCGTGTTTAAGAATTAAGACTGCAAAATATAGAATACAGAGCAACTTGTGTAAATCGAGCGTTAAAGATTTAGTTTAAATGAACTTATTGGCTTTGAAAAAATATATAAATATGTATATGGGAGCTGTAGGAATGAGTAATTCAAAATTGTAAAGGCATTCATAAGAAGAACTTCATAATAAGCATCATAATGTGTCACTTTTTGTAGCATGTGTACTGATTGTGTTTTTTTTAATTTGTCAACATGTTGATCAATTCTATTTCAAGGGATGACAATAAATCATAATATAGCATCACTTATTTGAGAATAATAAATTTAATCACCTAAAAAAGACTAATACCAAATCTACTCAATGTGTAAACTCAATTTTAGGTTTAATCCAATTTCACCAAATTTACTCATTTTGTAGACTCATCATTTTTAGGTATAATCCAATTTTACCAACAAACACCCTACGTTTTAGCAACATCATTAAATTCAACCCAAACCACATTTATTTAAACTGATTCCCATATTCATTTATCCATGCACTCCTCTCACTTTTAATTCTCTCCATTAAAATCTAAATAATAAAATTTACTTTCCCCGGGTGTTTTTAACCCTGAAAAGCTGTGGCAATGTGGGTCTCTAAAGAGCCCAATTATGATTACAGGTCAAATACCTGTAAAAAGGTATGTGGCCATTACACACAAGTGGTTTGGAGAGATACAAAAAGTATTGGTTGTGCTAGATCCAACTGCCAAAATAGAGGCACTTTTGTTACTAGTAATTATTATCCTCTTTGAAATGTCGGGGGCCGAAAACCTTATTAATTTTTTTTTTTTTTTTGCAATTGCTTCCATTAGGTTATACAAATATATAGTTGAGTCATTCATTTTTTGGTTATGTTATTTGTAAATATACAAATTGTACTCCTATATGTATAGTGTCATCATTAATAAAATTAAGCCTCCTGAAGTAGTCATTTTGCTATAACTAACAGATCATAGTACCCCCGAGGCGTTTTGATCTGTCTTTTATTGAGTCCATAACCTCGGTAGAAGACTGTAACTCTCTTACAGCCCCTGTAGCCAATGAAGAAATTAAGAATGTCTGATATGAACCCTCTTAAAGCACCGGGTTTCGATAGATTTGGGGTGAAAATTTTCCAATCATATTGGCCAATTATAGAGAAAGATATTTATTTAGCTATTCAAGGTTTCTTTCACCATGGTCACCTTCCACCCTCTTTAAACCACACTCTAATAACTTTAATTCCAAAAACAGATTTACTGGAAACTCCAAATCATTTTCACCCAATATGTCTTGTAAACACGGTTTATAAGACAATTTCAAAAATTCTAGTGAATCGTTTATGTCCAATTTTTTTTTAAAAAAAGTGAGCCCACTTCAAAATGCTTTTACCCCACATCGTTCAATCCATGATAATATTTTAATTGTACAAGAAAGAAGTTCTTAACACTTTTCACAAATCTAACAATAAGACCGGATGGTGTGCCCTGAAATTAGATATGGAAAAAGCGTATGATATAATAGAATGAGATTTTTTATGGGAATGTTTAAAGCTTTTGGTTTCCTCAAAAATGGATTAATTGGATTATTGAGTGTGTAACCAAAGTCTCGTACTCTTTAAAGATTAATGGCAATTCCACTGAATGGTTTAAACCATCAAAAGGCCTACGACAAAGAGATCCTCTATCTCCTTACCTCTTTATTCTTGGGATGGAAGTTTTAATAAGAAACTTTCTATTGAAAGTCTAAAAAACAAAGCCGGATAGGGTTTAAAATTTGTCCACGTTCCTTTAATATCCTCTGTATCTTATTTGCAGATGATAGCCTAGTTTTGTAATAGATTAAAAGCTCTACTCGAGGATTTTTGCAAAATTTCAGGTCAATTAATTAATTTTCATAAATCGTCAATTATTTTCTCAAAGAAAATTCTAAATTCAAGGCGAACCAAGTTAGCAAGCCATTTAACATGACTCCCAAGTCATGTTTGGGTCGTTACATTGGAGCACATTTTAGTTCCTATTTTCCTAAGAAAGAAGACTGCAAGCTTATTCTCCAAAAGACTGAAAAATGAATTCAACATTGGGAATCTGGTTATCTATCAAAATTGGACGACATACCCTAATCCAAAGCAATTTAGAGGCTTTACCCTCCTACTTGTGCTCATCCTCTCTTTTGCCAAATGACATTTTAGCGAAGTTAGATTCCCTACATCAAAACTTCTTTTGGAGACAACAAAAAGATAAAAATAGTATCCCCCTTATAGCATGGGATAAGATCTGTAAACCAAAGAGCACTGGAGGCCTTGGCCTTCGTCGAACCTTACCGCTTAACAAAGCTTTTATTGCTAAATTAGGTTGGAAAATTATGACAAACCTAATAATCTTTGGGTGAAAGTCATTAAGGATAAATATCTTCACAATTCATCCTTTTTTGAGTGCAAACACGGTGTGAAAGATTCTCATATATGAAGAAAAATTCTTCCTCAACACGTGAGCTCTTGAGAAAAGGTATTCGTTGGAAGATAGGTGATGGCAAAGGTATTTTTATCTGGATCGATAATTGGGTGGCTAACCAAAGCCTTTTAGAGCTCATCTAGATATATGTCAATTAGGTTAATCTTAACACTAAAGTATCAGACTTTATTCTACCCAATAAACAATGGGATAGACAAAAATTAAGAGCTCTTCTTCCTGAAAACATCACAACTCAAATTATGGGAATTCTAGTACCACTCAATGATATGATGGACAAACCTGTTTAATTTGGGGACTCACTATGCATGGAAACGTCTCAGTTAAGTCAGCCAATTGGCTTGCTCATAATCTCAATCTCGAAGACAACAATTGGCTCCATAGATGGATTTGGAAAATAGACATCCCTCCCAAACTCCAAATTTTCCTTTGGCAAATATTTCATAATAGTGTAGGTGTTCGTGACACTCTTCATAAAAGAAACATTATCCCGTTCGACATATGTCCTTTATGCAATCAGTAAAATGAAACAGCTGATCATCCTTTTCTCAACTGCACTAGAACCAAAGAAGTTTGGAACCTCCCTTTATCAAAAAAGTGGTTAGATTGCTCAACCTCGTTTCTAAAACTAACAGAAACATTAATGTACTTAAGAAAATACACAAACACTTTAAGAAAATTTATCTTCCTCATTTGGAGTATTTGGAAAGAGCGGAATGCTATCATCTTCCGTAATGAAACTTTTGATATCTTTAGGCTTTACCACCGAGCACAATTTTGAGTGGCATCAAAAAAGTCTCATAGATACCTTTTCCTCCATGGAATCTCCCATTGCGAGATCCCATAATCATTCTTCTCATACTCAATCCCCATCATCCATTCTTATATCATGGAAGACGCCTCCCAGCAACTTTTTCAAGCTCAACTTCGACGGTTTGGTTCGTAACAACTCAATAGCAGCAGGAATCATCATCAGAAATAGCAGTGGAGCACTCATCAAGGCATCTACATTCAATCTCGGCAACGCCAAAGTATTTATAGCGGAAGCTACAACTCTCCAAAAAGGAGTCCAACTAGCTCTTTAATGTGGCATTCAAAACATTGAAATTGAAGGTGATAACCTATTAGTCATCAACTCAATAAAAGGCATTTGGGCAGTACCTTGGCATATCGATCACATTATCAAAGACACTTGTTCTCTCCTTTCTTGATTTCGCATTTAGAGTATCCAGCACGTCTATCGAGAGGCAAATCGCGTAGTAGATTGGATAGCTAATGTGGGCCATTTAGTATAGGCAAAATTGGCTGCAACACCCTGAAATATTGCTTAGGTTCACTGAGCACCCTGAACTTTGCGTAGTAGCCAAAACACCACCAACTATGGTGTTAGGTGCGACGTGTGCCTTAAATGAAAAATTCCAGCCACTTATTTCACCGAAGGAGGTGAATTTGCGCATGCCAAGTGGGTGGGAACTGTTCACCATTTCTTTAAACTATTTTGGAGAGTGAAGATTCACTTCCTCCGGTGAAATAAGTGGTCGGAATTTTTCACTTAAGGCACGCGTCGCACCTAACACCATAATTGGTGGTGTTTTGGCTACTACGCAAAGTTCAAGGTGCTTAGTGCACCTAAGACATACTTCAAGGTGTTGCGGCCAATTTTGCTTTTAGTATATAGTAGTATGGATATTGATGTTTGTAATAACTCTAGTTTGTTTTTTATATTTTCTTCTGATACATTAGAAATTCCTCTCATGAGGAGGGCTTCCTTATAATTAATTTTTCTTACCTTTTCAAAAAAAAAAAAAGGTGTTTCTGTGGTTTTTGGAGTCCCTCGGGAGAGTTATAATTCTGGGAATGCGCGCCGACCGTCTGTACCTACAAAACCACGAAACTCCGGTTGGGTGGAGTTCCGCCTCCAACGATTAAGTTAGTATG